CCCTCCGCCGAGCCGGGCCAGCGCTTCCTTCCGCCGCCGCGGCCCCGGGCTCGGCCCCGCCGGCACGTCAGGCGCCCTCCGTGTAAATGGCCTCTCTGTGTCTTTTATCGACGTGTCTGTGTGGGTTCGTGCGCGTGAGCGCAGGCGACGGGAAGCCAAAGGTGGCAGATGACCCTGCAAGCCCGAGGGACGAGCGGTTGTGAGCCGCCCTGCACGGGAACTGAACTCCCGACCTCCGCAGCAGCACTGTGCGTTCCTCCAGCACGGCCTTTAAACTTTTTGTTAAATTGATTAGAAAACAAACAAACAAAGACGAGAGGGGGTTCGCGGTGCCCTCTCCCTAAGCACATGTCATTTGTACAGGTTTCCCGCTGCAAATTCAGTGGTCCCTGTGTGAGATTTCTGGGATCAGTCAGTACTGTTGGAATTTGGACTGTGACCAGTCTGGTGGTTCAAGAGTACACTGAAGGATTACTGGAGCTAAGGAGTTTTAGAAGAGTTATTAACTCCATGGACAAGGCAGGCAGGCAGACAGACAGACAGACAGACAGACAGGAGGGCATTGGCACAATAGTGGCTCCAGCACCGGAGACAGCAGAACAGGATCTCTGGAGAGCCAGTGGCCCAGAGTGAGCACCGGAAGGAGCTAGTGAATAGAGAGGACACTGAGAGGCATTCCACCTGTCACCTCTGCGCAGAAGTCTGACCCCGGTTAGCACCTGCCCAGCCACCCTCATCACCCCAACCATAGCTGTTAGAACGCTGATCCCATCTCCCCTGGGAGGCTGCTTGGTTAGAAGGCTGAGCCCTACGGGCTGGCTGTAGTGAAGAGGTAAGTGCTTGCAGGCTCGGGCCCCTAAGTTGCATTCCCCCCTGCATTACTGCGCCAGTCCGCTGCTTCACAGAGAGGGGCTTTCGGCCATTGCATTCTGCAGATTACAAGCTAGAGGAGCGAGAAAGAACATTCTAGCGGAGTCCAGCCTTGCTAGGGGGAAGAGGCACAAACGCACGAACCTGGGGCTTGTTGTATATACTCTGTTCCTTTCTCAGATTCTCTGAGAAACTTAGGACACTGCGCTGTGATTGACAGGCCTTGAACCTTTCCTGGATGGCTTCCACTCCGAACCTGTCACTCTCAGGGTTTGGGGGGTGAGGAGGGTGCAGGTGAGGGGCCAAGGATTTAGCTGTCTCTGTGGCAAGGCAAAGTGCCACATCGACCATTAGACATTAGGCTGGGGGCTGCCAGGAACTACAACTTCAAAGAGGTTGGACCTGGATCTGTCTGTGCCTCCATTAGCAACGAGGCAGGATTCATTGGGTCACCAGAAGGACAGGCTCTTAGAGAAAGGAGAGCATGCTGGTTCTTTAGAACCTTTACCAATGGGAGCTTTTGTTTCCAGATCACAGATCGGCCTCCAACCGGTATTCTCTTGCCTTTTAAAAACAAACCAAAAAGCCGACCTTTGAGAATGATTCTCATTAGAGAGGCAATTCAACCACAGTCACTTTAGCAGGGTGAGATCAGCTGGGACTGGAATATGGAGTGTTCCCTGACAATGCCGGGCACTGGCCCAGCAAGGTTTCTGGCTCCAGACAACACAATGACATTATTAGAAACCGGGGCATCTTTTAAAAATCTAATAATTTTAGTAAACCACACAGTGAGTGTTCTAGAAAGCTGGCCATAAAGACAAACACATATAAACGCCTTCGTTACAAAGTAGCTAAACTACGATTTCAAGGCCTTGTGAATGCACGGCTTCACGTTAGCCCACCCACCAGACAGACCTGACACTGATCAGTAAACAGCTCACACGGGGGCAGCTTCTGCTCAGAGGCCTACAGCTCTGCAGGTCACAGCCCCAGGGGAGTCCGCTCCTGCTGCTTTGCTCAATGGCTATGTTGTCAAATCACCTTTAAATACTATGTTCATATCCACAGATCAGCGCTGCTCTCGGCATTGGCCAAAGAAGTCTCTTTCTGCAGTGGGCAGCGGGGCCGAGACAGACAGCTAGTCAAAATGCGGAGACGCGACTGAAGATTCAGCCCTAAACTGGAATCTATGCAACCCCTCCCCCAATGCTTGGGAAACAACGTGGAAGAGAGCTGAGAGAATACAAGTGGGAGGGTGGGGAGGGGCTCTGAGCTGCTGTCTTCTGCATGTGACATGACTCAGGCATTCATGAGCTCACAGATGCTACGGGTCCCTGCATGAGATCATGCCAACAAGAGCAGCCGACATTCCAGCAGGCAGTATTCAGTGGGCTGCGAAAAGTGGGGAGACCTGAAAGTGGTGGAGGGATGTGTGCTGGGATATGTTTGGTGGGGAAATTAATAGGGGGAGAATATGCTCAAGATAAATTATATACATGTATGAAATCGTCAAATTCTGAAAATATTTTATGCAAAATAAACCTACCCATATCATCAGCATGCAAGTTTACTCTTAGTAAGTGGTAAAATTAAATGCAAAGCTATAAACTGTTAATTAAAATTCTTCACGGTTTACTCTCAGTAAATATTTGATTTGTGTATCTATTTTAAATACTATATACCTGGAGTTAAGAAAAACATTTCTCCAGCAAAGGGAGTCATGTGGTACATACCTTTAATTCCAGAATTTAGGAGAAAGAGGCAGTCAGATCTGAGTTGAAGACTGGCCAGCCTGGTCTACATAACAAGTTCCAGGCTAGCCAGCTTTGTACAGGGACTTCCTGTCTCAAAAGTATGAGGGTTGAAAGTGGACAAGTTCAAAAAGTCTCTCAAGGGCAGCGTTCCCAAAATTTTTAGAATGTCAGCTGGGACATTGGTAAAACTAACGGTTCTGATCCCCACAGCAGACCTCCTGAATTAGGCTTTTGGCAGGGGGTGGGGGGTTGGGTGGGTGTAAGGTTTTTGTCTAGATCTACATCTCACTTTTGAACTCTCTCCAGAACATCCTAGGGATGGCATGCGGCTCAGCAATAGAATATTAGCCAGCACGCACAAGGTCCCAAGGCTGCACACAAAAGCCTGTTATTATAAAGAACTCTGAGGTGTGGCTGGCTGGGCAAAGAGCTTGCTGAGGAAGTCTAATGTCCTGAGTTTGAGCCTCAGGGTCACAGGGTAGTAGAAAGCTCTGGAAAGTTGTCTCTGACATGGGCACCATGGTGTGTGAGAACGTGCGTGTGTGCACGTGTGTGTACATGTGTGGGGGGTGAGCATGCACACATTTGTGCGTAGGTATGTATGAATGCACATGTGAGCATGAATCATGCATGTGTGATGTGCAGTGGGGAGACAAGCACATGTGTACAGGTTAGAAAACAACTCTGTGGGGTCCAGTCTCCTGCCTTTACAGGGGCTACTGGAGATGGAACTCGGGTCACCAGGCCTGAGGAGCTACAACTCTTTAATGGCTGTTGTATTTCACCTACATTACAAGCATTTGGAGTGCAGGGGTAGGGGGTTGAATCTTTAGTTTCTATTAGAAAGAAACTGGCTTGCATGAAAACCGCTGGCCCTAACAAGTTAATAAGTATGCAATCAGTTTGCAGTTATCGAGACATTAAACATTTTAAATATTTTTTTTCTTTCAAGTTTTGAAAAGTCAAATAAGTAAGTACATGAACTGGTTTTCTTGGGAGCCTGAACAATATAGAACTTTAAAAAAATGAAGTCTTGCCACCTAGTGATAGTGGCTCACGCCTTTAATCCCAGCACTCGGGAGGCAGAGGCAGATGTATCTCTCTGAGTTCAAGGCCAGCCTGGTCTACTGAATCAGTTCCAGGACAGGCTCCAAGCAACAGAGAAACCCTGTCTGGGGGTGGGGGGATGAAGCCACCAGTTCCTCAGCCTATACTGAACACCTCACAAAACAAAGTGTTGTTTCTGGAAACAGAGCCTCCCTTAATCTGATGTCAAGAGACAAGGTGATTGTTTTTCTCAGCAGGACTCTGGGCTAGGGTTTCTCCTGGCCTCCATATCTATGAAGGAAAAGGCGTCTGTGACGCTTCACTCCCAGAGAAAGAAGAAAAGCCAAGGGTAGCATCCCCGTCTTCAGGAGAGGAAGGGTCAAAACCTGCTGGAGAGGGTTCAGAGACGATGCCGCAGGACGGGCGCTCTCCAGGGGCCCAGCTGCGGAGGAACAAAGACGGTGCAGAGCCGTCTCTGCAGAAGGAAGCACTGGACGCAGCCCATGGTCAGCTCCAGCTGCCTCCGTTTAGCGCCCAGAGATGCAGGCGGCGGGGCTGCTGCTGCTGGGGCTGGCTTGCAGCGTACATGGGCTCTGCTCGCCCTCGGTATTCTACAGAGACTGCTGGATCCGCCGCTTCCCAGGGCTGCTCCTGAACCTAGAGGAGTCTCAGAGGCTGGGGGCCCAGTTCCTCAAGTACTACTCGGAGAACACCGGTCAGAAGTGCAGCCGGAGCTGCTGCCTCAGGAAGGATGGTGAGCTCAGGGCTGACTGAGCCCACCCACCGGGGCGATGTCAGAGCACTAGGGGCAGGCAGAGGGAGGACCAGGGAGGATCCTGAAGTGGAAGCACTAGGCCCAGGTAGAGGGGGAGGTCCAGGAATCAGAGCCCAGGGCCCTGGCAGAAGGGGAGGACCCAGGAGGACCCCAGAATGAGGGAAGCATTCTAGCAGGTGGTTTTGAATGAGATCTTTGTGACTCTGTAGAACCCAGGGCATCCTGCTGTCTTCGATACAGTGCTAAACAGATATATATTTCTTCCAGGGGTAACTAACCTGATTATTTTCATAAATCAGCATTTCCACCAGGCTGGGTGCTGTGGCCTACATCTACAATCCCAGCATTTAGGAGCTCAAGAGTTCCAGGTGAACCTCAGCAACACTGCTGAGACCAGTCTGGACTATCTGAGACTGTGTCTCAAAACCAAAACAACAAGCAAATGAGCAAAAGGGATATGCATTAATTTACTTTTTTAAAATATTTATTTATTTGTTTATTATGTATACAGTATTCTGTCTGCAGGCCAGAAGAGGACACCAGGCTTCATTACAGATGGTTATGAGCCACCATGTGGTTGCTGGGAATTGAACTCAGGACCTTTGGAAGAGCAGGCAATGCTCTTAACCGCTGAGCCATCTCTCCAGCCCCCGCATTAATTTACTTTTAAAACTGGTATTATTTGTTAGTTTCTTTTAAGACTATCTTTTGAGAATTTCAATGTTTTGATCATAATCTCATCCCCACTCCTCCCTCAATTTCCCCAAATCTCCCACCACCACCACCCAACTTCACATTTTCTTTTATTAAAAAATAATCTAGAGTCCAATTTATGCTGCCACCATGGGCCACTCCCTTAAAGAATGCAGACCCTCCCACCCACAAGACATCAACTGTCAATCACTCCTCAGTTAGGGGTAGGGGCTCATGAACTCCTTCCAGCTCCGTGCTGGATGTCGACTGGCTTGATCCTGGGTCGGTCTCGTACAGTTGTAAGTCATGAAGTGTTTCTCCTTGTTTGTTTGTTTGTTTGTGTTTGAGACGAGCTTTCATGTAGCCCACTTTGAACTCACTGTCGGTGGAGGCTGACCTTGAACTCTTGGTCCTCTGCCTCCAAATCCCAAGTGCTGGAATTATAGACACACACTGCCACATCTAGCTTAATAATTTCTTCTAACTATAACTTTGAGGGTTTCAGTGTCATGCCTGTTTTATAAGATCTGTCTCTTGGCTCCATATGAAATATGGGGTGTACTGGACAGGAAGATAGAATGTGGGTCATTCTATCTTCAAATTTCCCTAATAGATTCTTCTTTATAATAAGTGGCATTTAGATGTAAATATCAGCCATATACTCATATCAAAGCCTTCAAGGTCACAGCCACCTGAAGACACGAAGACACTCTCATTTCTTTTTCAGTTTTCCCTAGTTTTAAAGCTACCTGGAAAGACACAGGAGCAAAGGTGGAAGAGGGGACCAACACCCAAGGTTGTCATTTGACTCATGGACACTCACACACATGCACACACACATGCACACTCACACACATGCACACTTACACATGCACTCACATACATGCATGCTCACACATGCACACACACACACACACACACACACACACACACACAATCCAGACCTGTAAGCACGACACACCTCAGCAGCCTGTGAGTCAGGGCAGGAAGGCAGGGCCCAGGTTGTCACCCCTGTCCACAGCTGGAGACCGGATACACATGGAATCTAAGGTTTCTTTCTTCTCCCCCCTCCCCTCCTCTCCCTTTCTTGAAGAGCCCAAGCTTCCCTAAACTCACAGTCCTGATCCTCCCACCTCCGCCTGCAGAAAGCTGAGACTGTAGGTGGGCACCATGGTCCTGGTTCTGCAGAAACCACGGGAAAGGGCTGGAGAGACATCTCTGTATTGTTCTTTAAAAAGATAATAGGTTGGGATGCCCCGAGCAGCCTGCGAGCCAGGCAGAGGCTGCCGCCAGAGCAGTGCAAGTTCCCCGGGCAAGCGGCAGAGTCAGGCGGCTGGATGCGGTGGACGGCAGAGTAAATGGACATAAGGCTATACATAAAGCTAAACATTTATTACTTAGAGAAGAGGGAGACAGAGAGACATGGAGAAAAACATAGGGAGAGAGAGAGACACGTGTGTACACACCAAGAGACGGGGGACAGAGAGAGAGTGTTAAGATGGCGACCAGGAGGTCAGGTGTAACTACCAGAAATGGTAGTTACACCTATGTCACCTATGTCACATGCCTCCCCTCTCACAAACACACAAATGCATGTGATTAAAAAGTCAAAACAAATTTCTCATAAAAAGAATTATTTCTGATAAAAATAGCTTTCTATAAGCCTGATGTGGTGGGTGATGCCTGCAATTCCAACCCTTGGGAGGCTGAGGCAGGGGGATTGTGAAATTGTGGTTATATATAGGCTATATAGTAAGCTCTTACCTCAAAGAAAACACTATTGTTCTCTACCACATCAATGACTTCATCACAAATCTAAATATTAAATAAGAACTTTTTCAGTTTCTTTCTTTTAGAACATCCTAGAACCATCCTCAGGGACTGTTTTTGCCACCCAGTATATTAACAAAACATTAGTTGTCAACTGTGTCAGATTATTTCTCCTCTGGAAAAAATAAGGAATGCAGAACCCAAGGCTGTCTCAGAAGTGAGAGCTGAGCTGTGGTTCCCTGTGGCTGGCCCTCCTGAGAGGCAGATCAGGGCTTTACCACAGCGCTCTCCCTATCTCAGCCCAAGCCCTGGCTTGCTTCAGTGTCTCTGTTATCTCCCTTTATTAAGAGTGTGATGCCTCTGAGCCAGCAGACACATCCCATGGTCCTGACTGCTCCGCAGTGCAGGTTGGGGAGGCTGCATTCCAAGCTGTGCACTAGCACCTGACTCTGGGTTTCCAGAGACCACACAGTGTTTTAAGGAGCAAGTCTGGAAAAGGGGGCTGACATGAGTATGTGA